GCTCCCATCGCCGTCGCGTCTATCCTGTTTCTATCTCTAATACCAAGTCTATGACTTCCCAAGCTCTAGTCTCTTGTGTGCCAACCCAAAAACGTTGTGTTTAAACATTGAACCTAGTCAAAGCAAGCAGTATCACAACATTTGTGGGAAAACAAGCTTTAGGGACTTGCTCAATGAGGCTGGCATATACGTACTAGCAAAGGCTTGAGGCAGAATGTAAAACGTAAAGTCTCGAGTAGCATGTATACGGTGGCAGCGATAAAGTGAAATCACTAAACCAGACAGATAAGGAAAGAATCTCACGGATCCTGGATCAACACTCCCGGCAAAATAAGAGAATGAGGGAACCAACGGGGAGTGTGAATAGGCCTCACTTAGTCTGGTCAAAATGGGACACCTCAGCTAGATTTTAAAGAACAAGAAATTGTGATATTGAGGAGATTATACGAAGATATAGGATGGGTGAACACCGCAAGACAGAAGGCGGGATACCGCAGAGATTTGGTCAAAGGAGCTACTTCAATTGCCTCTTTTGACGATTTGTAGTGTGGTGCTAAGAAGGAATGGCAAGGCTCATTGACGATACCGGCAAACGTCTGGGAATGTACCAATTATACGGTCCGAATCTGTAAATTATCATACCTAATATGAACTCCAGACTAGACGCATTCCTCTAGGTCTTGCTGCCAATATGACCTAGTTGCGAGAACAAGGTGAATTGAAAGAGAAGTTCTGCATTGTGGGAGTATATTTAAGTGTAATCTTCGCGTTTTCTGGCCAAAGTGACAAGTAAGAGAAATAATAACTTAGTATGGGTTTTTAATACAAATAATTATTAGTGATATAAAGTAATATGAAAAAGTAAAAGTAAAAACAAGTATAACAATACAAAATGTAGGTAGTGTTAAAATAAGCAAAGGGCGAGGAATTTTGGCTGCATGAATCTCACAATTCTATGTGACCCGAAAGGCCAGATTCATTATTTATACGCGAATGACGGGTTGCCTCCGAAAGACGGATAAAACGCGACAAAAGATCGGGTCCGAGATGACGCTGGTTCGGTAAACCGAAGAAAAGAGTTGGCCGGCTCATCAGAGAGCGTTCACGAGCCACAGCGCCAGAGAAGGTGGAGAGGCAGTTGAGCAGAGCCAAGTCTACTCTGGCAAGAAGGGCCATATCAAAATGAGGCGGAGAGTCGGTAAGCCTGGGAAAAACCAGCACACCGAGCTGTTAAAATGAGGATAAGGGAACCAGAAAATAGAAGGAAATCTATTAATTCATAATTCTATGACCTTGAAACAGCCTATGCTAAGGAGCGGTTTTAAGCAAAGTTCGCAAGGTACAACTTTAGTTCGAAAACAGGATTAATGGAGTAAAACATAGAGTTGTTGAGCTTACTTCCATCTCGAGTGAAAGGCCGATCTCACCAGAAGACGAAAGCGGATTTCTCTTAAGCAGCTGCCGTTTGGCTTTACAGGAGACTTCCTGAGGACGCTGTTTCCGAGGTATTCTCCAACGATTCCGGTGAAAGCGCGCTAAGCTTTCTACTGTCGTATGAGGCGCATCATCAAAGAATAGTAGCGGAATCGAAGGAGATTGCCTCGGAAATAGCGCCAACAAAAACGTTCCAGTAAAGCAAATTGACAGCTGGTTAAGAGGAATTCGCTTTTCTCTACTGGTGGGATCGGCCTTCGAATCTCTCTACCAAAAACTTGCACTCGAAATAAAATCTCAGCAATTATGAAGCAGGAGATTCGAAATCCAATATTTTGTTCGCAATAACATATAGCACAACATCAATTACTCCTAAAGAAAAAAAAGATTCATACGGCTAGCGAGATGATACTATATTGCAATTGAGGCAATACCAAATCTAAGATAAGCAAAAGGAAAAAAGATGCTCTAGTAAGAATCGAAGAAAGTTGAGAGTAAGATGGGCAAGAAAACATTAAAACCACATACTGATAGTCATCAGCACGCATTGTGTGTATTAAGTCCCAAAAGGTAAATATCAGATTATTAAGCAACGTGAAGAATTCATATAAATTTTCTCAAAGGATCCAAAACCATAGATTGACAGAAACATAA